TTTTAGACATGTGATATTTAAGAGAATGAGGCCTAGGAGAGTGACAGTTTTATAACCCCACTTTAAAATGCAGAATTGAGAATTTAGACTTGTGATTTTTTTATGGTGACATCTAAGTTTAAGTAGAGTATAAAAACACTTAAAGGGATTTAGGTTTATTTATAAGTTTAATTTATTATCTCTCTCTGTAAAGAATTTAGACTGTTAGATGGTTTTGCTTGTTGTCAGAAAAACTAAAGTACTTAGAGAACTAAATACATTAAATTTCTAACTTCAATTAAAAGTGTTTGAAGTGCTGAGCAAAGCCTGTAAATAAGATCAAGCATTATTCAAAGACTCCTCCAAAGTTATTGCTAAAATTTATTAGATTTACAAGAATAATAAAATTTGTAAGCTGAATTTAAAAGCCCTAAAAAGGTTTTGAATTTATATCTGAAATTGAATATTGATTCTGAAGACAAAGTTATAAACTATATTATTTATTACCTTAGTCCTAATTATTGAACTTATTAAAATATTACCTTTTAACAAGAAATTTAAATCTAGTATTAATTTTTTAAAAAATCACTGAAGTCTCTGTACATGAGAAATCCACCGTCCAGGACTCTAGGGTCCCCCAACTCCACTCCCTACTCTGTGAGGTTCTGTGGAGGTGGCTGAACAAGACACAGACACCACGCAGCTTTGTTCTGGGAATTCTGAAGCCATCTGTTACCTTGTAGCAAGCTGAGGAGGCTATACCCTGTCTTAGGTACTCCTTCTTAGGTACCCTCCTTCATTTTTTATCAGGCTAGGATACCTCATAGAATAGAAAGGGATGACCACCAGACTTAGAGTGAAAAAACCCAGCTCCATTGCTTAAAGGACCCAAGGCTCAGTTTTCTCATCTGCAAAATGGGAATAATTCCCACCTTACAAGGTTCCTGTGAATGTCAGCATAGCACTCAGCCTCAGGTTGGATCCCTGAAGGCAGGGAGGGTTAGGGCAAGGAGGTTCTTGCTTGAGCACACTGGCCGGGGACATTGCCTCTTACTTTTTATCTCACAGCACACTCAAACCTATAGTTAAACTTCCACGGCACACTTAAATTATGTTGATCCGAAGAAAAAGTAAAAAAAAGAATATACTTACTGTACATCAAACTTCTTTTGAAAATAATTTAATTAATGATCTTTGAAAATGTTCACAGCATACTGGTTGAAAATCCCTGAAGGTGGCAAAGAGAACAGGCATACCCCTGACACAGTCCCTGGTGGGACCTGTGTCAGACTAACCCACAGATCTGTGAGATGACATGTGTTATTTCAAGGCATAGCAGCGACTGGAAACAAAGCAGATGGTAAGGCTGGCCCCTGTCACTCAGATGTCGCACAGCCCACTCTGTCTCCTCCAGCCACCCCACCCTCAGTCATCCTCTCCTCACCCTCCACCCTCTGGCACTTCAGCATCTCATTTCCTCTGGGGCTGTTCATTGGTTGAAACGCTCGTGTTCAGCTGATCTCCAGCCTTCCCCACCAGATTGTAAGGCCAAAGGGCAGGCATGTTGGTTATTTGTTCATCACTATATCCCTAGTGCCAAGAGAAGTGCCTCCCTCCCCACAGTGGAAGCTCCACAGATACCGCGTGGTAGAGGAGTGGAAGCGTAAATGAACATGATGGGGCACTGCGAGGTCATGGGTGTGTCCATGAGACCTACGGAGGAAGACCACTCAGTGCTGTTTACCAGAGTCACAACCTGTGAAGGCTCAACAATGAGCACACTCTCTTTTACTACTACAGGATTGTTAATCAGTTCAGGTCACAGCTCTCCAGAGTCTTTTATTAAGCCTTCAGAGGTCTCAGACTAAGGCTGCTGTTGCCCTCCTAGGAATATATTTATGCAAAGAGTGAAACATCACCCGTTTCCTCTGCCACACAGAATCAGGGAGTATGTGAGTAGTCTGTCTAGAAGTAAACACAGTAAATGTTTCCCCTAGGTCAAACTCTCTGGGAAGAGACCAAGCTAGTTTTAGGAAAAGCTTTGGTTTCCCGTTTTTTTTTTTTTTGTTGTTGTTGTTGTTTGTTTGTTTTTTCTGACAGAGTTCACTTTGTCGCCCTTAGTAGAGTGCCATGGCATCATAGCACACAGCAATCTCAAAAACTTGGGCTCAAGGGATCCTCTTGCCTCAGCCTCCCGAGTAGCTGGGGATGCCTGGCTATTTTTAGAGATGGGATCTTGCTCTGACTCAGGCTGGTCTGGAACTCCTGAGCTCGAGTAATCCACGCGCTGCAGCCGCTTCCAGACATTTTTTTTTTCTCAGCAGTATTTTTAAGGTCCACAGACAGGATGTTTCTCCCAGCAGGGATTGCTAATTTACCCCAGGATGGCAAACAAAACCCAGGGGTGGACTAAAGCTGCCACCTCTGGAGTGGAGGCAATAAGACAAATGACTGGGAAACAGGAGAAGCGGGGTGAGGGGGCTGAGGCCAGGATGCATCCGGATCCAGATTGACTGTTACACTTGCAACTTCAGTCAAGACACCCTGGAGGCACCCAGCACGAGAACCGAGAACGGGAAACATGTACCAAATGATGTTTATTGACTCCATTTTGGAAACAGACAACATGACAGGTTTTTGGTTGGTGAGCTCACTTGGAGTTGAGCACGGTAACTGCTTCCCATCATTAAACCTCAGCTTCAGGAAAATTCTGGCATAAATAATGAAAATAGATCTTCATCTCATAAAGGGGAGAAAAGTGGTGAGAGACACTACAGCTATCATTCTTGCAACCGCTCTGATGGCTAAAATGCCCATAAACATCAAAATCTTTATAGGTGTGGTCTTTTTACCGCACAAATATCTCGTCAATGGTAAAGCTGTAAACTGGCTAACAGTCAACAATTCAGTACACTGGGTCTGTTCTGACACTCCCATCCTCAATGCAAGAGCTTATCCAGGGTAAACTATTTTAAATTGCACACAGACTTTAAGTCCACCCTATACATTTAACTGATAACTGCTCTCCCCCTCACGGATATTTAAGTCATGGAAAAGGCATTTTAAATATATATATGTGTGTGTATGTGTCTCCTTGTAAACTAAAAAGGCAGATCTGAGCATTATTCATTACTTTGTCTGGATTAATAAATACTAGTCTCAAGTGCTAAGTGTACTATTAAAGACAGTAGCCATCAGTTAAATAAATCAACCTATTACTACCTACTGATATCCCATTTGCGAACACTTGTTAATCAGTTTATGGACCTCATCCAACACACACATAGAGATTATTTTTTTTAATTCTCAGATCTCCTTTGGACATTTCTCTTTTACGACTTTCTTAGAAGGATGAAAATGAAACTATTTTTTAAATAGAATGTGTAAATTAAATGCCATCAAGAGCACAACTCTGGCCATATTTCAGATCTTCATCCAGAAGCAAAATGACATCAAGACAGAGATGGCTTTACAAAGTCTATTCCCCTGAGGGCAGCTTAAACTGAACCCCACCTTCTCCAGGGGCCCCCTAGCTATACTGGAAGCCAAGGAGATTTCATGCTTTTGAGATTTTCATAAACACTAACAGGAAGGGTCAGGAGAGCCATTTCTTTTCCTGGACCTGTTGGCAGTGGGGCTGAGAAACAAACCCAGAGAGGTGGAGTGGGATTTAAGGAGTACAAAGAGCCCCAGACCTGTAGGGTGCAGAACCAGCACAGTGCCAGAGACTGCTGCCCTCAAATAGCTCCCTGAGACCTCACATATTAGAAATTCCAGGCACTTGTGGGCATTTCCTTAATCACAGAGAATAAATATCCCTCCATAAGGTTCTGCCCACTTCTCCTCCCCCCACTGTGGCACATGAAAAAATTCCTTTTACCACGGGGCCAACTGAGTCTCCCCACCCAATGCAGCTTTTCCTAGAAACCACAACACTCACAAACACAGACCATTCTGATTCAAATCCCGCTGACTCCAGAGATCTGTGGCCTAAAAGCCCTGCCCGCCACGGATCACTTTATCTGGACCACTTCTAGGCTTTTTTCCCCAGGGGCTGTGCTTGTTTTTTAGTTTGAAGACACGCCCCATTAGAAATGAACAGTGCAAGATCCTACGTGCAAATATTTGCAAACTTTTTTTTTTTTTAAACAGGACACATTTTAAAAATTCAAGTCAAATCCAGGCACAGACTCGTTGGTTGGTGTCAGCCGGCCTCTCACACCCACAAGAAGAAAGCGGTCCGTTTCCGAAAGGAGAAAGGCAGCAGCAGCGACTCCTCCAGAGGTTAGTTTCTTGGGCTCGGGAGAAACCTGAGGGAAATGCTGCCACTCAATCAGAGGCAGGGCTCTCCGGCCTCGCGGCCTTCCTGGGCCAAACGCCAAAGCCTCAGTGGAGGCGACACATGCAAGGGCGTCTGGATGTAGCCAGGGCAGCCTCTCATTCACTCATCAGGAAGGCAGCTCTTCCCCAGTGATTCTGAAAGTAAAATATGAAAGGCACATTCCCACAGCCATGCTTGGTGGGAACTGCAATCTGCTTTCCCTCCACACACAAGGAAAGGGGCAAAGGGCTTCCCTCTCTAGGAGCTCCCCTCCCCCCTAAGCCTCTGCATCACCGGAACCTAAGGGGGACTCCACAGACCAGCACATCCCTGCTGGTTTTGTGTGTGGTCCTGACAACCTCCTGTTCCAGCTACGCCAAGGGCATCGGCTGTATCCCCGGGAGCTCTGGACAGTCTGTTATCGGAGGGGAGAAGGTTCAGAGATGAGGATCTGAGTCAGGCAGGCCAGGCTGGAAGTCTGAAAGTGACCATTACGCAACTGGGTCTATGTGGCTGCAAAGAGGGGGTCACAGTCCCCCAAATGAAGAGGTTTACAATAAGGATCTTCCCTAGGGCATTTCAACCAGGCATAAAAGAAATAAGGCAGAATGCCCCAAAGCAGAGCCCTGCAGCGGTCCGGGGATGGAGCTGTCCTCCTCCTGGTTGCACAGCAGAGGCCAGGAGGCCCCAGGATGGCCACTCAGCTGAGGGAAGCGCAGTTCAGCTCCGAGCCCTCCTGGCTGCCACTCGCCCCCTCCTCCAGTTCATCAGGGCTGTCGTTGATGTTGGGCTCGCTGGAGCACTGGCGGTGGGGAGGGGGGAAGCTGGGTGGCAGGAGCAGGTGTTTGTCCTCACTGCCAGCCTCCTCCCCGAGGCCTGAGTGCATCATGGTGGCCATGGCCAGCAGCTGGATGTCCGAGTGGGCGTTGGCCACCGTGTGCCGCCGCACGCTGCCGCACTTCTCCAGATAGGCCTCCCCCTCCTGCTCCGTCAGGGGGGTCAGGGCCATCTCGTTCAGTGGCCGGCTGGCTGTGCTCACCGGGGACGCATAATTCAGCAGAGTCACCTTGGGCCGAACCCTGGAGTGCCGCCTGGCTGCAAGAGAAACACGAGCACAAGCTGTCACTGGGGAGGGGGGACTGGTGGTCAAAAGCTCAAACAACGTGGGGAAGAGCGAGGGGGTTCAACCTTTAGACACAGCTTCAGGTACAGCCCTTCTGAAATGCATGGGGGGAACTTGGCGATGTCTGAAGGTTTCTCCTCCAACTTTACCCCTTTATGCCTATGACCAACTCTATCATAGTCAACGAAGGCCTTCTCTTGATAGACAAGGTCAAGGGAACCTCCTCTCCTTCCCAGCTGCTGCCTGAGCTTCATTGGATTTACCCTAATTCCCTTTACACAAATCTCCTCTGCCAAATTGCGCACTGGCTGGCCAGCTTCAGGAAGAAGCCACTGGCTCCTTGCAGGAGCTTCTTCTATGTTCCCACAGCTAACATGAAAATGGCCTCATAAGCTGAAATCCTGCAGAAGACGTCAACTGGGGAGTGACCGTGGCTATCAAAGCCAACGCAACAGACCCTCCTACCAAGCACGCTGCACCAGAACAACCAACATTCCCCATCCTGCTCCAGGTCAAGGATGTGAGACCTGTGCTGTGTGAGACCTGTGCTCTGTCAAGTCAATTCTCCTGGATTCGAAGGGCCTTTCGAATCCAAATTGCCCCAAACAGGCAGACACCAAGAGGGCTGGACACAAATTACGGTAAAACTGCCGCTGTTGGTTCAGCACCTGTGGCTCAAGTGGCTAAGGCGCCAGCCACATACACCCAAGGTGGCAGGTTCGAATCCAGCCCCGGCCCGCCAAACAACAATGACAGCTGCAACCAAAAAATAGCCAGGCGTTATGGTGGGCGCCTGTGGTCCCAGCTACTCGGGAGGCTGAGGCAGGAGACTCGCTTGAGCCCAGGAGTTGGAGGTTGCTGTGAGCTGTGATGCCACAGCACTGTATCCAGGGGGACAGCTTGAGGCTCCTGTCTCAAAAAAACAAAACAAAAACAAAACTGTCGCTGTTGAGCTCTCATCACAACACAGAAACTGCTAGACTTTGATGCGCACCTTTTGAATCTTCCTAAAAACTGAACCTTAGTCATGATATAGTGTTCCTTACCATTTTACAGAGGACAAAACGGAGTGTCAGAGAGGTAATAACTTATCCAAGGCCACACACTAAGAAGGCAGAAGCTGGGGGGCAAACAAGGTCTTTCTTCCTCCAGACCCTCTCTCTCCCCAGCTGCCCAGGCAAAGCAGACCCCTAACCAGAGGAGGCAACGTGCCCCGAGGGAAGGGCAAGTTGAGTGCAGGGGGTTCAAAGGCTGGGAAAAGCAGGCCCATATGGAGACAACAGGAAACCTGCCAGCGAGGTTGAGGACAGGCCTTCGGGGTGGCAGATTCCAGAGGGATGGGGGTGACAGCATTCTGAGCAATGGGAACAGCCTGAGTAAGCTGCTAAGAGGGCCCATCAGGTCCCAGCCTGGCTGGAACGCAGAGCACAGGTGACAGTGGAATTACACCTGACTTGGTGGGATAAGTGTGTCCTAGGAGGGCCCCTGAACACCAGAAGGAAGCATGTGAGATGTGTCAGGCCACAGTGGAGCAGGGGAAGGAAGGTAACTGTACAGGTCACAGGGCAGGATGTTCAGAGCCCCTGGACAAAGCGTAGCAGGATGGGGTGGAGCCAGAGAGGCCAGGGTGAACATAGCCAGGGAGAAAGCTCTAGCATTATCTTCCATAGCAGATATGGATCCCATATGGAGAAATTACTGCCAGCTTCAGAGTCAAGGTGAGAGGTGATCAGGACAGGAACCAGAGTGTGGGGACTCCAGTGAGGTGGGGAAAGTGACAAGAGACTGACATGACAAACCCAATGAACAGACCACGGGAGCAGGGCAGGAGGAGGGGTAGAGATGGTGACAGGCACTGAGGGATACCACACTGAGCCGTGGGCGGGACAGACTGAGGGGGGTGAGGACCGGGCAGTGGCAGAGGCAGCAGCCCTAGTAACCCAGAGCTTGGCTCTGACTGGGTCACATTACAACCAAATTGTACTACGTGGCTGGGTACCGTGGCTCACACCCATAATCTTAGCACTCGGGAAGGCCAAGGTGGATGGATCACCTGAGCTCAGGAGTTTGAGACCTGCCCCAGCAAAAGCAAGAGACCCCATTTCTAAAAATAGCCGGGTGTTGTGGCAGGCATCTGTAATTCCAGCTACTCCAGAGGCTGAGGCAAGAGGATCATTTGAGACCAAGAGTCTGAGGTTGCTGTAAGCCATGATGCCACGGAACTCTAACAGGGGCAAGAAAATGAGACTGTCTCAAAAAAAAAAAAAAATTGTAATATGTGATGTCAAAACTGGGGAGAAAAATTTTTATGTAAAGATAGCGATCTGGTTATTTTCAAATAATACTTAAGGACACAGGAAAACACTTGCAGTATAATATTCTATTCAAGACAAAGGGAGGATATAAACAACAGTATCATGTGCACTTTTTTCCTTTTCCGGGGGTTGAAATTCATACACATACGTATAATAACTGGGAAGCTTGTATATCAAAATGTTAATAATAGTTATCTCTGGGTAAAGGTATTACCAGTGACTAAAAAATTTCTTCTTTTTTTTTAACATTTCTCAAATTTGATTTCATGTGCACGCAATCTTCTTATAATGACAAAAGAAAACACTTTGGGACATGTAAATTATAAAGCCCCTTGGACCTTAGTGCTGGGCCTTCAGCTGCCAGAGCTCCTGACGTAGACAAGGGTTGACAGCGTTCTAAGCAATGGGGACAGCCTGAGCATACTGCTGAGACAGGGCCCATCAGGTCCCAGCTTGGCTGGGACACGGACCACAGGAGATAGTAGGGACAGGCCCGAGTTGGCAGGATGAGCTGTCCTAGGAGGGATCTCAGAGTGAACGTGACCTCTCCAAAGGTGAAATGAGGTCGAGAACTAAATTGTTCTCATACATGCATCTGTGTGCGGTGGAGAAATCGAGAGGGACTCCCTAGCAGGACAATAAAGGTCCTGAGAGCTAACACGCAGGACAGCATTTGAGAGTGTCGGGAGCTGTTCTGAGTATCTTGTGATGATTAGCAGCTATGAGCTACTTAAATCCTCTCAACCCAAGGAGGAGGGAGCTATTGTCACTATTTTCATTTTACAGACAGGAAACTAAAGCAGAGAGAGGTTAAAAGACTCATCCAATGTCACGAAGAAGAGGATAAGTAGAACCGGCGGACAAGCATCAGCCTCCAGCAGCCAAGTGTCAGAACCCGGAGTGCTACTGCCTCTCCAGAAGGAAGGAAACCTGGGTGGGTTGGAGAGTCTGGACAAGAACCGGAGCAGTCAGGGATCCAGAGTCTGGGGGAAGGCTCCCAGAGGAGGCAGCTTGTCTACCAGCATGTCAGGTGCCCAGGGCCCCCGCTCCTCACCTTGCTGTGAAGTATAGGAATCTATGGAGCCTGGGCCAGAGAGGTCAGCACGAGGTCCCAGAGAAGGCCCAGCAGCCAGGCAGTGGTGTGGGACAGTCCCATCCTAAAGCCAGTCTAGCCTGGGAGAGCACAATTTTAAAGGCTGGCCATGTCCTGAACACAGCTATGGGGGGCTGGGCACAGGCAGGTCCCATTCAAGGCCTCCTCCCCTCCTCAGCCTCCCCTTGTGCCAGAGCACAGCTCTCCTGGCTTGCAATCACCCACATCACTTCACTTGTCACTGCCTTCCATAGTGCCTGTGTCCTTAACATACTGAAGACCTCCTCAGTGGAGCAGGGCCTGACAGCATAGGCATCCCCACCACACACAGACAGGACAGGGGTTGACCTACTTTCCAAGGGGAAAGCTAACTGCGCTCCCATAGCCGGGCCTGGGGGGCATATGTTTAATTTACTCTCTGCTCTTCCTATGAATCTAGAGGGCTCCAGACACTGTCACTTTTCATGCTCACGCTCCTAGACGGGGACCACAGTGAGGCCTGTTCTTCAGCATCCATCAGCAAAGCTCAGGGCAGCTCCTACCATGGCCTGTTTTGTGTGTGCACCTGTGTGTGTCTAAGTAACGATAAGAGAAGGCAATTCTGCCCTTGGGACTAAATCTCCAAGTCTGCTGGTTCAGAATCCCAAGGGACCTGCTTGGTGGTAACAATAATTTTTCAAAAGCAAATGACAACATGTAGAAATGAGAGTTTACTGAATTGAGGGTTTCGAGTATGTTCCCATCCACTGTTCAGTCTTCATCTCCCTCCAAAACAGGGAAGGCTGGACACATTAGCCCCATTACGTCCCCATCTATGGGGAAACATACAGATGAGGAAAACACAGCTCGGCCCCAGTTCTCTTAGGTTCTGAATGGTGGCACCCCAACTCTCCCTGCCACACACTGCCACGTCTCAGGTCACTGCCGCTACTCTCGGAATCCATGCTCCTTGAGCCAACCCACACTGCAAAGCCATGCAATAGCAAACACTGTCCCCAGCAGGTGCGAGACAAGAGGCTGGAACTGGCCTGGAGAGGTGGGTCACTCCTCCACCCTCTGATCAAGGACAGGAGCAAAAATACCAAGGAGCAACCAAACAGAATCTATGCTAAGCATTGACAGACCAACCCTTAGAACTAAATCTGACAGAGATTCTTTCTGAAGCATGGATACTTGTACATGTGTATACATTTCTATAATGTGCCCACATGCTTATAATAACCCTGTATTACTTTTATAATCCCCCAAATCGATAACTATAAAATAAAAGCACTGGAAGAGTTCAAAGCAGCAAGGACCCCATTAAAGAACTGTCCTTTAAAAAAACGCCCTGGAAAACAATTCATTTCTCTTGTGCTGCTGCTACAAGCCCTTTAGATTGCTGCTGGGAAACCGTGTCATGGCCTGAACCTTTCAACCAACCTTGCAGGACACTAACCTAGACCTGTTCTATGGCCATTTTCTACATGCAAATCCCTGCAGAGGGTAGAGCCAGAGCTGCAGTCAGCAGTTACGCTGTTTCTACTGTTGGCAGAGACGTCACATAATGTTTTATGGGTATATG